CAGTTACACTGGGCAGCTCTGGCCACAGCTGGGTTGTATTCGCCTGCCTGACCCCTGGTTCTGTGCCTTCAGGTGGCCACTGCTTCCCCCGTGGTAACGCTGAGCTTGACTGATGGAGACGAAGGTGAAGAGGTCAGGGAGAGCGATCCCTTTGAGCCGGGATTGCTCGTCCGGCTGCGGGTTGTGATCCTGTTCCCCTCCACCTTCGCAGAGTCAAGGTTGCCTTTGAGCGGTGCTTTGCAGAACACCGGAGCAGGGGCTCGTTTACGCATGGGAACAGTTGGGCTCCCTGTCAGTGGCAAAACGCACCCACCCCTTGTCTGGAAAGCGTGGTCTGGGGCTTCGGGGATGCTCCAGAGGAGCCTGAGCGAGGCGAGCCTGTGCTGGGCTCTGGGCAGCAGCTCAGCTCAGCTCCGTTCCCGAGGGGGGGTGGAGGCTCCGGAGCCCCTGCCCCTGAGCCTGGCGGAGCGCGAGCGTTACTGCAGCGGGGGGGCTGCGTGCGCGCACGTTCCCCTGCGCTGCTGCGGGAGGAGGTCCCCGGGAATACCTGTGCCGGAGCAGCTGCCCCGGCTCCGGAGCCTGCGCTGCGGCTGAAACTTGACCTGGAAGCGTTCGGAGCTCCGAGGTCGGGTTTCCTCTCAAATCCCAGCCCGTGAGGAGGAGCGTGAGCGCAGGGATTGGGTTTGCCTGGCAGCCCCGAGTGCGGGTCTTGCAGTGCTTTTCCTTCTGATGCGGCTGTCACTGTGGGCTCTGCGAGAGGAGTGGGGAAGGGGAGAGGTGCTGCGTGCTCTGGTGCTGCTGTTGGTGAGGTTAGAGATGGGTATCGGTGCGAGGCTCTTTGGAATGGCAGCAGGAGTACCCGGTAATGCTGCCACGAGCTTGTTTTCATCACGGTGATACCCGTAAGGGTTTGACCTGATAGAAACGACTGAGAAGGCAGCAAAGCCTTGGCAGAACGCTCTGTTCAGTGATGTAGAAGAGTTCTCTGGTCACTGAAGGGGAGCGTGGCCCAGCGCTGAGCCTGCTGGCAGCCCCTGCCCACAGGTGAGCTCTGCTGCTCGGATCTGCTTGGGCAGCACTCGGATGTAGCCACAAATCCCTGCACAGCCCTGACCCCGGGTCACACCTCTTGGAGAGGAGCTGGTTTGTATTCCCTTTGCCTTAGAAAAGTGAAGCAGGGACTGGTTTGGTGGCTGCTCCCTTATGGAATGCCTGGGGTTTCCAGGTGTCCTCCTCCCATAGAGGAGGACTGCGTGTGCTGTGTGTGCCTGGCACATCGTGCTGACACAGGATGTTGCAGTGTGCATGTAACTGGATGTGGGTCAGCAGTGTTAGGATGCTAAGGAAAGGGAATGTTAATGATCCTAAAGGGCAGGAGGCCTGTATTCATCATTGTCTGTGCTGGAACTGCTGGAACAGGGGAGGGAGCAGTCAACAATTTACGTATTAACCGAGCTGGCAATTTACATTCAGTGCCTGGCAATGCAGAGTCGGAGCCTTGTGCTCCGAGAGCTGCTCTAGTGTGAGGCAGGAGCTGGGGCTGCTTCTCCAGCTGGGGGTGATGAATGGATTGCGCACCTGCGGGACATCTCCTGCAGCTCTCCTGTCTGTCCCTGCCTCTGCAGCTTCCACAAGAAACCCTTCCTTGTGGCTGTTTGAAAAACCTCCTGAGTGACCCCAATGAGCTGTTTTCCACATGAATTCCATGTATAAGTCACTCAAGTGGCTTCTTGGAATCCCAGCTCTGTTCAGGTGCTGGAGCTGGTTTTAATGCCACATTTATCATAAGGGCTGGTCAGTGGATGTTGACGGAGAGGACTGTCTGCGGTCCTTGTATTCTTTGGATGATGTGTCTCAGACTTAACTGCTGGGGATGAGGAGGGAGGAGAGGGGCAAAGCAAGGAGCAGGTTTGACCGCTTGTATGTAACCACATCTGTGTAAGGGGCTACCTGGAGCTGTCTTACTGGGTAGGAACCCAAACCTGTGATGGTGTAGCCCTTGGCAGCACACAGCCCCTCTTGCACCATCACATCCACCAGAGGAAGGTGAGGATGAAGCTGATTGTTTCTAGGTTTTTAAGGAACTGAAGCCTTTTCTGGAGAACAGGAGGAATCTCTGCTGTTGCTGCAAGAGGCTGTTCCCTTCCATGCCAGAGCTGGCCTAGGTTCTGTGGCTTCTCTTTGGGTGAGCTGGAGTCAGTCACAACAGTCTGCACTGGGATCGTTGGAGGTGGGCTCTGTGGCACTAAAACCAGGTACAGATCCTGGCAGCCTCATGGATAGTCAGGCTTTGCTGCTCCGGGAGGAATGGGGCTCAGATTGGCACATGGTGGTGGCTGCCCTGCCCTGCTCTGCCCATCTCTGCCAGGCAGCAGCACGGCTCCGGGGCGAGCACAGCAAACACCCCAGGTCGCTGTGTGCTGCTCTCACAGGCTCTCGTGAGGACCTGGTCAGTGCTGGGCTAGTAAGGAGCCATGGGAGGGCCACATGGCCCCTGTCTTAATCCTTCTGCTGTTCTTCTCCAGTGTGTGCTGGTGCCTCACCTGTCCTGCTTCTGTTTCCCTTGGCTGGTGTCTCTTGGCAGGTGTCCTGCAAGGCTTTGGGGGTGCTGTGGAGGCGTATGAGGGCTTCCAGAGCCCGTGTTCTCCTTTGCCTTTGGAGGAGGGCTCTCCCTAGAAGGCAGTCAGGAAATAGCAGTATGTTGCTGGGAGACTGGGCTCCTTGCGCATTGGAGGCTCTGGGAGCAGCAGCAGCAGCTGAACTCCTTTGTCCCCGTGTCCTCTGGCTGGGTCATGTATCGCTTGTGCCATTGCTATGGCAATGTGCTGCCAGCAGCTTGCCCCTTCGCACTCCCTCAGGACCACTGCGTAACACCAAAGGAAGGCTTTAGGAAGTTGCCAGCAGAGCAGGAGGTGCAGTTTGTAGTGGAAGTGCTCCCCAGCTGAAGGGATCCTTGTGGGAGTTGTCACTTCCCCTTGTAAGTGTGTTGGGTGCTGTTGTGTCAGTCCCATTGCCTGTGTGGCACAAGCAAGATGCTGCCTTCAGCTGAAGGAGCGCAAGGAAGAGTTAAATTGGCTCAAGTGTCTCCCTTTGGAGCTTAAGCAGAGCAATTTGGAGCTTCTCTAGTTAAGCCATTGCAGTGTTTATTACAGATGGGGCCTTTCTGCTGATCCCGGTCCAGGGGTTTAATGTGCTGCATTAACACTTAAATGAAGAAACCGCTGGCGGGTGATTCATTACTGCTCATTATGTGTCTTTTTCGAGTAACTCTGACCCCAGTGTCTCTAGTTGAGGCTAAACCTCGCCCTCTCTGCTAAATGGCCATCAAAGGGGCTCCATAAAAAGGGAATTATGTGGCTTCAGCCAAGTTTCAAAGTAGTCGAATCATCCGAACCCACACAAACAAACTCCCACAGCCGGTGGAGCTGAGAATAGAGCAGTGTCTGCTGCGTGTGGGGCACGAGGGGCACTGGGCAGAGAGCTGGGGCAGCCCCAGCATCTGCCTCCGGGCTGGAGCCCATCCTGCTGCGAGCCCATCAGCACCAGCCCTTGCTGCCTGTAACCTCTGCTTGGGGGTGGATGGAGGGACGGCGCAGATGCTGGTGTTGTGTCACGCAGAGGATGGCTGCTCGGGGATGGAGAGTCCCACTGGAAGGGATCTGAATGACACTGCTGAAGGGCTTCAAGGCCCTGAAAGCACCCGTGGATTTGTGCAGCAGGAGGGAGGGCGGGTTTGGGGCAGGGTTTTCCTTACCCAGACCAAGGCTCTCTCAGCCTGTGCTTATTCTTTGGACTTTCTGCTCTGTCTCTTCCTGGAGAGGCTCTACCCCTGCAGGGAATGAGTGCAGGAATACCTGTGTAATGTGGACAGAGGCATAACAGCGATGGGGCTGTGAAAGCCGTGGCCATGGGTTGCACTGTGAGGCTCAGGAGTATGCTCTCATTCAGGCTCAAGTGAATGTCAGAGGTTTTCTGCCTGCGTTGGGCTCATGGGTTAGTTCCAGCCCCATGTTTCTGGCCCCTCTCAGGGCACCCTGGCTTTCAAGCCCTGAGGCTTCTTGCTGCTGGGTGAAAGCAGCTGAATGGAGCTGATGAGGCTTCACCTAAAAACTAATTGGAGTGTTTCACAACATCTGAGGCTTTTTAATGGAAGGAGTAAGTTGACAAGTTGTATGTAATTGTGTGTGAAGTCTGATCAGATAACGGGCTGAAGTGCAGCCCTCATCCTAATGGGAAGCTGGTTCCCAGCCCTGGGATGGGAGGATGCAGCCTGCTCAGCTCTTGCGCTGCGCTCTCAGAAGTCTGGAGCTGGTGTGCAGGTTCCCTCTGTGAGGGTGGTGTGTGAGAGCTGTGCACAGGTCTGTACATACCATGTACAGATGGTACCGTGGGCAGTACCATGCAGAAAGAGGCACTGATCTCTAACCTGTCTGGCTACCTTTGCACTGAAGGAGTTAGGGTTTCTTTTGCTGATCCCCGTGGTGGTGTGAGCGTGTATCGGTGGCTGAGCAGCAGCTGAAGATGGAAAGCATCCCTCTTCCTGCTTAGTCTTTGCTCTCCAGGTGTGCTGGTGGGAAACCCTTGGCTGTAATCTCACAAGTGGCTCTGTCAGGGTTATCAGCCAGGGCTAGTGCCACTGATGGGCTCCTGACAGCACATGTTGTTGTGGTTATTGTACAGCTGAGCTGGCACAACTGGTCCTTTGCACACCTCAACTGTCATGAAGCAAATAGAGCTGTTACCAGTAACCATTAAGGAGCATGTTCCTGGCTGCCCAAAGCCCGTCTGTGCTCGTGCATCTCCAGCGTCTGACACAGCAAGATGGTTGTCAGTGATGCAGCAACTGTTGGTTTTCAAGTTCCTGCTCATTGGAAACCAGTAGAAGTCATTCTGCTTCCCTCTCTGCAAGGATCTGAATAGCTGGCTTCTGTGGAGGTGGTTTTTCACCTGAGCTGCTTTGGGAAGTGTCCGATGGAAACCCCAAAGACTTTTCCTTTCTGCTGCTGCGCTCTGTTAGAACCCAGACATGGAGCTGGTGGCGGGTGTGCTGCAGGGGGGTGCTGGGTGCCCTGGCTTGATGCTGGGCTTCGTGGGGAAGCCTGTGCTTAGTCAGAACAAGATGTGAACAGCTTCTCATCCCAGCACACAGTAAAAAGACAAGCAAAGACTGACTAGGGGTGGTTTCCCACTCAGGCACTTCTGCACTTTGAGTCATTCGCTGGGCAGCGTGGCCTCGAGCTCCAGTTCCCATTGTATGGGTGTGTGTGTTGGTCCCAGTTTGGTACCACAGACAAACCTGGGTTGTTGCTGTCACCACGGAGACAGTTGGATGTGAAGCTGGCCGCTCCTTTGTGCGAGCCTAAAGGAAATGGTGATGGTTCAGGAATTGCAGTGTGGGATTTGAGACTTGCACTGCTGTTTTCAGGACAAGGGTAGGCTGCAGCCTCTCATCGTGAGGGTCAGTAAATGGTCCAGTTCCTCTTGGTAAGTCATGGCAAACCTGCTGCTAAAACAGCAGCAGGCCTGAAGGTCACATTTGGTTTGAGCATGTCAGTGCGTTGCTGGGAGCAGCGTTGCTCTGTGCTGCAGCTCAAGGGTTACAGCCTTGGAAGCTGATGGGAGTGTGTGGCAGCAGGACTCCAGGCTTGGCTTCCAGGTTGTCCTAAGGCTGGGATTACTGGGGACAGGCATGCGGGTTTGCCTTCTAGAGAGGCATCTTTGGAGGATGATCAGATACCTTGAGCTTGCCTTGGGCTCAGTTTAAAGGCAGGTGGGGTTAGGATGCAAGGTAAACTCTCACGTGTCCTGAGAAGACAGGAATGGAGCATCCAAGTCATCCTGATGGAGATGAGGGAGAGGGATTTGATTTGGTGGAAGTTTAAGGCTGCTCTGGAAGATGCTGTTGGCAGTGACCAGCTGTTGGCTCACTCTGTTCTTCACCCGTGTGTGGCTGCTGTCACCACAGCCATGAGCAGAGCAGCAGAGGTTTGTAGTGCAGCAGGAAATCAGTGGGAAAACCAAATGTGTCAGAGCCTTCACCATGGCAACACAGCCCTGCTCGCAGCACGGGGAGACAAAAGCAGGTCAGGGCTGCATGGAGCGAGGTGGGGCCTGCTCCAGGCTCTCCCAAACCTGCCCCTTCATTCCGGGGCAGGAGCAGCTGCCTTCCCTGTAAAGGGCTGGTAAGGTGGGGACGGCCTTTGGGATTTGGCAGCAGGGACTGGAAATGGGTTCTGCTGCTCTCAGTGCTGCTGCAGCAGTGTGGCTTGCTGTTCAAAGGCTGCAGTGGATGGGAATGTTTTATCAGCTCCAGACAGCCCTTCAGATTGTTTACCTTGCCCTGAGCACTGCTTGGACACAGCAGAGAGCAGTTGTAACCCTGCCCTGTTCCACAGAGCCCTGTTGACTCGCTGAAATCTTGGGCTTGCATTTGTGCACATCCTCAGGCTGCGCTCGCACCACGTCCTGCTCTGACGGCACATCATCGGCTTGTTCTTCTGCCTTCTCATTCTGTGTTCCAGCACACCGTGCTCTTCAGTGAGGTCAGCAAGAGAAGGGCTGAGCAGCACAGCAGCAGCAGTAACACACGGAAGAGCTGCTTCTGTGTCCCTGCCAGTGTCTCGGCACCACTCGTGCCTGGGTGGGTGGTTCAGCCAGGCCCCGGCAGGTTTCAGCCCATGCTGCTGCTGCTCTGGAGTTGTTCTCCCCTCGTTGAGAGGGATATTAAAAGGTTTCTGGTTTACAGTTACAGGCCTTGCTCTGGCCGGAGGAGCATCGAAATTGATACAGCAATTACTGCTGGGCTCGTCACGGGTTGTGGCTCTCACATGCTTCGTGAGGCACAAGTGGCAGTGGCTGGAGGAGTGCCGCCAGCGGGGCGGCCGCGGGCTTGCAGCCAGGCTCTTCACAACTGCTATGAGAGCAAGAATATGCTCCAAAACTTGCTCATTCTTCTCATCTCCTCTTTGAATCTGGCCTTGAGCTGGCAGCTGAGGTGGGGTTTGTCTCTGTATAATGGGTTTTACCACTCTGCTTCACTCTGTGCTTCTAGTCTGGTGTTAGAGTTGGCTTGGCTGTGTCACTGTAGGTACCAGGCTTCCCCCAGACGTGGCTTGGAGTTGCAGTTAACAAGTACGCATCTCTTTGAGCAGTGGTGAGGAGCAGCCTGTCTGTGGTGGCACAACCAACACGCAGCAGTGACCAGGCCTGGCCATCCCAGCCCTCCCTTCATAGGGAAACGCCGCTTCCTGGTGGATTTGCATCCCGAGCCCGTAGTCAGCAGTTTGGGCTTGGTGTGGTAGGGTGCCCCGGCTTGTTCGGGTGAGTCATCATTCAAATAGTCACCGAGCTAACGTGCTTGTCCAAACAGGAGCTGAGCACAGCGCCCGGCAGGCGATTGCAGAGCAGGTTACGTGGCTGGCTGAGGTAAACAGCAAAGCGCCTCTCGCTTTGCCACAGGGAGGTCTCCGAAGCTGAAAGCCTCCTGCGTGGTCTGTGTGGACAGAGCTTGCTTCCTGTGCTCTGAGCTCAGATCCTGGTGGATGGGAGGGAAAAGCCATTGCGTTTTCCTCACTGGGACCCGGAACAAAGGCTGCTCTGCAGTCTCCTCTGGTGCCTCCTTCTCATAGGTGCAAACCTCAGCTCTGCCTCTGAGTTCAGCGGTGAAGTTCAGTGCTGGGGATGCTCCAGTTGATTAGAACAGGAATATCAGCTCCCAGCTAAAGTGAGGAATAAGATTGCTTCTTATCTTTTGCTTTTTCTTCTGTTAAATGTGTTGCATGATCTCAAACAGCAGTTCCCGTCTTCCGTAGGGTGTGATGCTCTGGTTCCAGTTCTCTTTGTGCAGAAGGGTGCAGGTGGCTCTGCACGTGTTGTCAGGAGGCTGCTTTGTACCGAGCTGTGTGTTCAGCGTGGAGTTCTTGGCCTGAACCAGCTCCTGGTGTAAGGAGTGTTTGATGTGTGAGTGAGGGAGTCACCTGAAGCAGTGGCACTGTCAGCCACACGGACCTGCACAGAGCAGGTCCCCACGAGGGCAGCTCCCTCAGTCTGAGCGCTCCTCCTGCCCCCAGGAATCCCTCTCAGCCCTGCACTCCCCTCTCTGCCGTGCTCTCCCTCCTGCCCTGTTGTCTTTCCAGGGATCCCTTCCCAGAACACCCTCCTGTGCTGCAGAGCTGCTGCCGGACCACCCTGCCTTTGGTTCTCGTGCTGCTGTGGTGTTGAGCAGGCATTCACCAGCCGCCAGCCCTCTGCTGAGCAGGAGCCGCTGTTGCGGTGCCACTGTTTTGGCTTTGGGTGATGTTTTCCTTTGCAATGGGCTCCTCTGTCCTTGGGTTTCATGTGTTTATCCCTGGCTGTTGGAGGGCAGACACAGCCCAGGGCAAGTGCAGCCTGGGCATGGGGCTGCTGTGCTGGGGCTGCCCAGAGCTGCTGTAACTCAGGGTCAAGTGGGCTGCAGCCCTGTGGCTGGTCACACATTGGGGACATGGGGGTCCCTGGGGTCAGTGGTACATGGCTGATGGACAGTGGTACAGCTCTGGGGGCAGAATTCAGCCCTGCTCATACCCAAAGGAAGAGCCATTGAGGTGCTACAGTAACAAGGGGAAGAAAGGAACCAGAATCGGTGCATCCTTGCTGTGTGTAATGCAGCCCTGTGTGCTCAGTCTCTGATTTCAGATGCTGTGAGTGTTGCAAAGAGCTTCTTGGGGAAGGAAGGACTCTGGGATCCATTTAGCTCCTGTTGAGCTGCTGTGCACAAAGTACCTTTTCATAGCACTGCCAAGCCAGTTCTGTCCAGGGGAATGACGGCGAGGGCCTCTTTGCACGCTTGGGCATCATTCCAGAGTATTCCAGGCTCATGCACACACATGAGAATGTTTTAAAAGCAAATAAAGCCCTCAGCCTCTCCTGGTGATGGTGCTGCAGTAGTTTTACAAGTCAGGCTCTTGGTAGTTCCCTCATTCTGTCCTCTCCTGTCATGTGCCTGAAGATGCCCCTCGGATCAACGCCAAGTACAGTGGTTGGAAGGCAGCTTGACTGATGCCCTCGGCAGGCAGGTCGAGATGAGCAGGAGCAGATACAAGATACTCGGCTGCCGTTCAGGCTGATAGTGCCAGGGAAATATTTAGCACATAGGCGACACTTGTAATCTTTAAAGCACTTCATAAACATTGGCTAATCCCACGGTGCAGCTCCGGGCTGGCGCTGAGCTGCCTTCCCTGGAGAGAGCAAATGGCCCAAGGACTCCATGAAGCTGTGAGAGGCAGGAGAAGGAAAAGCTGTGTTGTAGGCTCTCATGGTGCGAGTGTGAATGTGGAAGACCAAGGAGGTGACTTAAGGCATCAGCGCTTGGTTTTCTAGGAGGTGGTTCGGTGCCAGCTTTTGAGTAACTCCTCAGGAGTAGGGCCTGATGTAAGAGTGAACCTGTCTGCTGGCATGGACACAAGTCAGCCTCTGCCTGACGCCGTGGTGCTGCCTTCCAGGGCCCGTGTCTGCCTTCCGTTCAGCCTCGGGTGGTTTCTGGCTGTCCAGGGCTGTGTCTGTGACCGCAGGACACGCTGGGACTCTCCGGGTGGCAGCTACAAGATGTGCTTGGCTGTGGCAGGGGGTTTGCTGGAGCTCCTGGACCAGCTGTGGAAGGTTGATGCTCTGGGGCACCGCAGAGCTCCTCAGTGGGGTTTGGTTGTCTCTATCTTCTCAGACTGCCAACCAGCGAGGCCCAGCAGCTGCAGTCCTGTGTCTTGTAGCACTACTGCTGTAAGGTGAACTTCACTCAGAGAACACTGACTTCCTCCTTCATCACCCTTTCTCTCCTCCCCTGCCTTTGGTAGTGAGCTAAAACCTGGTACTGAGTTGCTGACTGGGGTTAAACCACAACAATCCAAACCCCCCAACCTTCTGCATTTTGGGGCTGAAAGCTGATGCTCCCTTAGAGCACTGCTTCACTTCATCCTCCATTGAAAGACAAGATCCCTCGTGTGGTGTCAAACTTGCTTCTGCTGCAGAGG